TTCCTGCTGGGCCCTCCCTGCAGCCCTGGCCACCTCTTACCACTGTGGTTTCCAGAGAACGGCCTCCCTTGTCTGCCCAGTCACCTGTGAGCGCCCCCCCCCCTTCCCGGAACTCCTTGGGAAAGGGGAGCTGCGATGCTGGGACCAGGACAGGGACTTGCCTACAGGACTGTGAACATCAGCGTCTGGGTTCTTTGGTTGCCTTTGACCTCTCTAGGCCCTAATTCTATCGTCTTGTTTCCTTATAAAATCAACCAGAAGATAAAGGAACGAGTAGGTAGGGAAGGGGCCAGGGAGAGCCACGGTCCAACACTAACACTAGAGTTGGGGCTCAAAGTCTCAATCTTACCTTTGGCTTTTAGGGGAACCCTGAGTACGTCATCCAGGCCCTGGGTGGCCTCAGTTTCCCCGCTGAGAATGGGGGGAAAGAACTTGGCCAGAGTAGCAAAGGTCGGAATAGAAGGGAACAAAGAAGCAGCGGTCCCCAACCTTTCAGACCTCACAGACCACCAGTGGTCCGGGGACCACCGGTTGGCGACTGCTGCAAAGAAGGATGGAATGTAGGATGGGGCAAGGGCAGGAAGACGGGCGGGAGGAGTCACAGTGTAGCGACAGAGGGGCAGGGACCGGGACAAGGCAGAGGAAAGACCCCTCCTTGGCTTTCCTAACAAGTGCCTCTCAGGCCGGAGCCCACTGCGTCCGGGCCCGTGGCCCTTGGCCAGAGGGGAGAGGACAGGGTTTTGAGGCTCAGCTGAGAGGGTGGGGAGGGGGACAGATGAAGCCCTCAGGAGCCCAGATCCCAGCTGCTACATTTGGGAACCAATCTCCCTCATGCCTCCTGGGCCAAGGAAAACTGGGCTTGGGAGGGCAAGTAGGGAGCATAGAGACAGAGTCGAGGCCTTGAAGTGGGGGGACCTGGGATAAGCTTGGTGCTCAGACCTGGGGGTGGTGATTTGTGGTGGTGACTAGGGTGTGGCCTGGCAGCTCCTGCTGCCCCCCCTCCTCCCGCCCCCCGCTGCCAAGCTCCAGACTTTGTTTTGTTAAACCAAAATAGGAGAAAGGCTAGGGAATATGGCAGCAAGCCCGGGCATGGGGGGAGGGGAGAAGGACCGGGGCGTGGCCTGTCCACAGTTATGGTCCCTGCTTTGCAAGGAGTTGAGGCCACTGCCTTCCCCACCCCACCTCACCCACCTCAGCACCATGGCCATAGCTCTCTCTGCACATGGAGCCATTTCCCAGGTTCTCTGATTGCCTGGCTCTTACCACCACCGGCTGCCCCCAGTTTCTCGCTCCATCCAACCTCCACTCTTACCTTCATCTCTGTTCCTCTTCTCTGCCTTCTTTCCCGGTCTCTTCTGCCCTCGGACTCAGTTCCGAGAGGTTCTTCACCTAAGGGAGCCGTGTTCACAGGTCCCCTCCCCACCTGCTCGCCCCCAGCTCTGCCCTCTTAGGTGGGCTCTTCGGGAGTGGAGCAGGGCTGAGTGTGAGAACGGCCTGGCCTGAGGCTGGGTGTTGGACGGGGAGGAGGGCAGGTGTGTGTGCTGGTCTCTGAAGACTGTGCGCACCACCCGTGGCCGCCCCCGCCGCTCACCGACCACTGTCCCGCACAGATGTGGACGAGTGCGCCGAGGGCAACGGCGGCTGCCAGCAGAGCTGCGTCAACATGATGGGCAGCTACGAGTGCCGCTGCCGGGAGGGCTTCTTCCTCAGCGACAACCAGCACACCTGCATCCAGCGGCCCGAAGGTCAGCCCTGGCCAGGGGGCCTGCTCCCTGCGCTCCCCCTCTGCTTGGGGGCGTCCCCCAGCATCCCCTAGGTCTCCCCTCCGCTCAACTCCACTGGCTCCTTCCCTGTCCCTCAGCCGAACCACATCCTGAGGGCTCTGCAGGGAGAATCAGGGGGAATTCCTTTGGAGTTGGGGCCAGGGTGGGGCATTCTCTGTGTCCTAATGAAGGAATGGTGGGTGGCTGAGCTCTAAGCTGCTGTTAGGAGAGGGCCTCACCGATGCCTGATGCCGCATTCCTGGGAGGGTCAGGCAGGATTAGTGGGTGTGTGTTGTCTGTTCTGAGACTCCCTCCCCCCTAGACTGTGACATTTCTGAGGGCAGGGACTGTGTCTAAACCATCTTTGTGTCCCCAGAACCCAATAAACTGCCCTGCATGTAGAGGGAGCTTAGATATTTGTCTATTAGATATAGAATCATGTGGGAGTTATCCAGTTATTCCCTCCCACATTGATACTTAATCTTCTTCCCAGTTTGACTATAAGCTGTTTGAGGACATATAAAATATAAAATATATATGTCCTACATTTTATCTTATATACGGGTCCTTCCTAAATCCACCCAGTACCTGGCACAGGTTGGAAGGAGAGGTGACCGTGCAGGCTTTCTGGAGGTTGGGTGTCAGTGCCTGTACGTCAGTCAGAATGGCTCTGAGCTCTGCGGGCAGGGCAGGGAGCCTCTGAGGGAGAGTCCGTCTCCTCTCCATCTTGCAGTCTCGGTGGGACCCTCCCAATTTCCTGGGCCCCAGTTATTCCTTCTAGTTCCTCTTCCTCGGCGTCCGGAAGTACAGAGCATTCACCCTGCTGCTCTTCCGTTTTAGAAGGAATGAACTGCATGAACAAGAACCACGGCTGCGCTCACATTTGCCGGGAGACACCCAAAGGGGGTATTGCCTGTGAATGCCGGCCTGGCTTCGAGCTCACCAAGAACCAACGGGACTGTAAATGTGAGGCCCCGGGGTGGCGGCGGGAGGAGGGAGACAGTGAGGTGGGGGTGGGGCCTCAGCAGCGGGAGTGGGGGGAAGGAGCATGGGGGAGGCAACTCGACAAGAAGGCCAGGGACTGAGTTCTGGAGACCGTGGTGCCCAGGGAGAAGCAAGCTAACAGGCCTCCTGCCCTCTCTGCACAGTGACGTGCAACTATGGTAACGGTGGCTGTCAGCACACATGCGATGACACAGAGCAGGGGCCCCGGTGCGGCTGCCACGTGAAGTTTGTGCTCCATACCGACGGGAAGACATGCATCGGTGGGTGAGGCCGGGGGAGAACGCAGTCCACCTGTGATGGGGGAGGGGAGGGGTCCTGGGGAACCAGGGGAGTGGGGAGCACATGGAGCCCACGTGCCGGGCGCCGGACAACTGGTGAGTTGAAGACTGGATGATGCCAGGTTGAGACAGGGGCAGCTCTGAGAGACAGGTCTCACCGCCCCACCCCTCCCCACCCATTGGCTCCACTCACCCCCGCCGGGAGCCTCACCACCCTCTTCATCCAGGATAACGTACTGCCAACCTGGGAATTGTCAGCAGGGGCGCCTGCTGGTCAGGGTTGTGGCTGAGAGAGGAGGGCGGTGCAGGATTAGCCTGACCAGAGGCACTGCTGGCCCGTGTCAGACGGGAGCTGTCACAGCCACTGTCCCCACTGGGGCTGGGGGCGACAGCATGCTCTCCGAACACCCAGCTCTGCAGTGACAGTGGGGTTTCCTGACTCCAGAATCTTTCCTCTGTAGCTTTCTCCCCTCCGCCCCCCCACTTCCTTCTCTCTCCACCACATTCCAGTGAGACTCCCTCTAGGCTCCCTCTGGCCTCTCACTTCAATGCCAGCCTTCCATCCTCTTGCCCTGCTTTGGGGCCTTCTTAACACCCGGGTCCCTCTTCCTGAATTCCTAGGCCTCACTTCACCCATCCTCAGGTACCACGGATGAGTCTAACTCCGAACGCCCTAGTCTGTAGGTCTTTCGTGAAGGCCAGATACTGTGTGCTCTCGGGGTGCTGAGAGGCGATGGAGGAGTAGGAGTGGAAGGAAGGAGCGGGCCAGGCAGGGGCGCGTCGGCCTGCGGGCACAGTGTTCCTGGGTAGGGTTCCCCTCGCGGGCGACAACATGCTGGGGACGGGAACTGTGCGTGCAGCCCCTCTGTCCATCAGTCATGACAGTCAGCTAAGAGCCAGGCTGTCCCCCATCTCACCCCAGAGGCCCGCCGGTCTCTGCAGACAGCACCACCTTTCCCCAGCACGGGAACGGGAGCAGATGGTGCTGTGAACGGTCTCCCGCAGCACCGGCTCCGAGACTGGCACCCAGGGCTCTAAAGTCCTCTAAGTAAATCTCACCTGCTCCGTGTTCCCTCAGAACTAATTCTTCAAAGACCCTGGAACCTTTGAGGTCCTCCTGCTGCCTTCTCTAGGCTGATCGTACCAGCTCCTTTCATTTCTCTCATAAATCTAATTCTGCTTTCCAACACCGGCCCCCTTACTCT